GTTTGGCTCGCAACCCTCCATCTCCTCCCCATTCATCTCCCCGTCCTCATCCATCTCCATCTCCCCCTCCCCATCCATCTCCCCCTCCCCTCCCCATCCATCTCCCCCTCCCCGTCCATCTCCCCCACTCACACTACCGTTCCTATTTTTATAACGCATGGCACCCTTACGGAACGCCAGAATGGCTTCGTTATTCGTAAACTGTTTTATAATAATTTTGCTGTGTTTTTTTATTTACATCTGTGCTCGTATCATCTCTTGTTTGTATACTTATCCTCTCTTGCTTACTTATTCTTACCTGTACACTTATCCGTGTGTATAACTATAACTTAACCCGTAAGTTTATTTTTACCCAGAATTGTTTCTGGCCTATCTCTAGCTTCCCTCATCCTCACCTCCTTTCCACCCAGTGTAATTACTCCCCCCCCCATCCTTCCTCCCCTCACCTGTCTCGTCTATCAGAGCTAGTTAAGGAATCATGTTAATGACACTGACTGTACCTATTCCACTAATCACTTGGGCCGCTTCACGGATCAATCACAGTGAAAGGAAATTGTCGGAAGCTCTCGGAAAGAAGTCCTCTGCAAACAAGAAGACTGTTGACTTCCCCAGTCACTCTTTTCACTCAGAGAATTCTTCAGAAGTTACTCTTCAATGAGGGTAGGTGGAAGCAGTCTTGATTGATAAGCTTAAGAGTTCTCTAGTCTGTCTTCTTATAAGCTCCACCACTAGGGCTTTCAGTCTTAAAATCACATTTCGTTTAGCAAATTTTTGTTTATAAGTGATTTACCTCTGAAAGGATTCGATATTTCTTCTTTCGAAGCCCAGTTTGAGGCTGTACTATTGTTAACTGTGTGGTCAACGAGGCTGTTGCTGTTAGCAGCCCGGAGGCCTTCATGCCCATCATAACCGGACTGATCTAGCACTTTTTGCAAGTAGTGTGACCTCAGGCCTGGCAGCGAGGATAAGAAAAATTCTCGAAATTGGTCACAATTATTTCCTCTTCTTTAAAGCATAGGTCTAAGAATCCCTCCCTTGTGTTATACTTGGCAATATTCTTCAGTTTCTCTTCTTGAACCTTGTTAAAGGACAGAGGACAGTGTATCTGATGGGTAACCTGTTAGGCGTAGGTAACCACTGATATTCATTGTTGTTAGAGAACACTAAGGCACAATACCGTGACTGGAACAACACACAAATAACCCATAACACATGTTTGGCTTTGTAAATGGTCCAAGTCAGACCGTAACGTCGTCGTAACCTTCTCTCTCCTATGTGCGGGTTATTGTTGTTGGTTCATCTCCGGTGTTACATCACTGAAGAAGTCTGCTATGCAGGCGAAATGTTTCGATGATAAAGGTACTTAAGTGTTACACATGTGTCTTTCTCTTTATTATCTTATGTTCAACGCTAGTTGCCGGAACACCTGTGTTCATGTGTAAGAATATTGCAATGATGTTGAACAGAATTTCAGATTTATTCGTGATATCAAATGCAGATGTTAAATCAAACGTGGAAACACTAAACTAGAAGACAGATTGTAATGTTGTCTAGACACTTGTTCGTGTTATATTATTATTTAGTTGTTATCCGTTCATAAAGCCCTTGAGAGGGACTAGGGGATGAAGTACGAGGTTTTATACCTGGAGATACCTGGAGAGGGTTTCGGGGGTCAACGCCCCCGCGGCTCGGTCTGAGATCAGGCCTCGTGGTGGATCACGGTCATTACTATTTAATAATGTATTTAAGAGAGTGTGTTGCTGTGTGGGTGTTGCTCCGTGTGTGTTGCTCCGTGTGTGTTGCTCCGTGTGTGTTGCTCTGCGTGTGTTGCTCCGTGTGTGTTGCTCTGCGTGTGTTGCTTCGTGTGTGTTGCTCCGTGTGTGTTGCTCTGCGTGTGTTGCTCCGTGTGTGTTGCTCTGCGTGTGTTGCTCCGTGTGTGTTGCTCTGCGTGTGTTGCTCTGCGTGTGTTGCTCCGTGTGTGTTGCTCTGCGTGTGTTGCTCCGTGTGTGTTGCTCTGCGTGTGTTGCTTCGTGTGTGTTGCTCCGTGTGTGTTGCTCCGTGTGTGTTGCTCTGCGTGTGTTGCTCCGTGTGTGTTGCTCCGTGTGTGTTGCTCTGCGTGTGTTGCTCCGTGTGTGTTGCTCTGCGTGTGTTGCTCCGTATGTGTTGCTCTGCGTGTGTTGCTCCGTGTGTGTTGCTCCGTGTGTGTTGCTCCGTATGTGTTGCTCTGCGTGTGTTGCTCCGTGTGTGTTGCTCCGTATGTGTTGCTCTGCGTGTGTTGCTCCGTGTGTGTTGCTCCGTGTGTGTTGCTCCGTATGTGTTGCTCTGCGTGTGTTGCTCCGTGTGTGTTGCTACGTGTGTGTTGCTCTGCGTGTGTTGCTCCGTGTGTGTTGCTCTGCGTGTGTTGCTCTGCGTGTGTTTCCTTGCTTTAAGAGTGAATATAATTGTGTTTATAAATTTAGCTCAAGTGTTCGGAAATTTCACAAGAGTCGCTTTAAGTGGCGAAGGTGGAGGAATGGTGAGTGATGTTACATGAAGTGTATGTAGCTGTGAAGTGTATGTAGCTGTGAAGTGTGTGTAGCTGTGAAGTGTATGTAGCTGTGAAGTGTGTGTAGCTGTGAAGTGTGTGTAGCTGTGAAGTGTGTGTAGCTGTGAAGTGTGTGTAGCTGTGAAGTGTGTGTAGCTGTGAAGTGTATGTAGCTGTGAAGTGTGTGTAGCTGTGAAGTGTATGTAGCTGTGAAGTGTGTGTAGCTGTGAAGTGTGTGTAGCTGTGTAGTGTATGTAGCTGTGAAGTGTATGTAGCTGTGAAGTGTGTGTAGCTGTGAAGTGTGTGTAGCTGTGAAGTGTGTGTAGCTGTGTAGTGTATGTAGCTGTGAAGTGTATGTAGCTGTGAAGTGTGTGTAGCTGTGAAGTGTGTGTAGCTGTGTAGTGTATGTAGCTGTGAAGTGTGTGTAGCTGTGTAGTGTATGTAGCTGTGTATGTAGCTGTGAAGTGTGTGTAGCTGTGAAGTGTATGTAGCTGTGAAGTGTGTGTAGCTGTGTAGTGTATGTAGCTGTGAAGTGTATGTAGCTGTGAAGTGTGTGTAGCTGTGAAGTGTATGTAGCTGTGAAGTGTATGTAGCTGTGAAGTGTGTGTAGCTGTGAAGTGTGTGTAGCTGTGAAGTGTGTGTAGCTGTGAAGTGTATGTAGCTGTGAAGTGTGTGTAGCTGTGAAGTGTGTGTAGCTGTGTAGTGTATGTAGCTCTGAAGTGTGTGTAGCTGTGAAGTGTGTGTAGCTGTGAAGTGTGTGTAGCTGTGAAGTGTATGTAGCTGTGAAGTGTGTGTAGCTGTGAAGTGTGTGTAGCTGTGAAGTGTATGTAGCTGTGAAGTGTGTGTAGCTGTGAAGTGTATGTAGCTGTGAAGTGTATGTAGCTGTGAAGTGTGTGTAGCTGTGAAGTGTATGTAGCTGTGAAGTGTGTGTAGCTGTGAAGTGTGTGTAGCTGTGAAGTATATGTAGCTGTGAAGTGTGTGTAGCTGTGAAGTGTGTGTAGCTGTGAAGTGTATGTAGCTGTGAAGTGTATGTAGCTGTGAAGTGTGTGTAGCTGTGAAGTGTGTGTAGCTGTGAAGTGTATGTAGCTGTGAAGTGTATGTAGCTGTGAAGTGTATGTAGCTGTGAAGTGTGTGTAGCTGTGAAGTGTATGTAGCTGTGAAGTGTGTGTAGCTGTGAAGTGTGTGTAGCTGTGAAGTGTGTGTAGCTGTGTAGTGTGTGTAGCTGTGAAGTGTATGTAGCTGTGAAGTGTGTGTAGCTGTGAAGTGTGTGTAGCTGTGAAGTGTATATAGCTGTGAAGTGTGTGTAGCTGTGAAGTGTGTGTAGCTGTGAAGTGTGTGTAGCTGTGAAGTGTATGTAGCTGTGAAGTGTGTGTAGCTGTGAAGTGTATATAGCTGTGAAGTGTGTGTAGCTGTGAAGTGTATATAGCTGTGAAGTGTGTGTAGCTGTGAAGTGTGTGTAGCTGTGAAGTGTGTGTAGCTGTGAAGTGTGTGTAGCTGTGTAGTGTGTGTAGCTGTGAAGTGTATGTAGCTGTGAAGTGTATGTAGCTGTGAAGTGTGTGTAGCTGTGAAGTGTATGTAGCTGTGAAGGGGTTGTGTGTGTGTGTGTGTAGTTCTGCAGTGTGTGTAGGTTTGAAGTGTGTGTAACTGTGAAGTGTGTGTAGCTCTGAAGTGTGTGCAGCTCTGAAGTGTGTGTAGCTGTGTAGTGTGTGTAGCTGTGAAGTGTATGTAGCTGTGAAGTGTATGTAGCTGTGAAGTGTGTGTAGCTGTGAAGTGTATGTAGCTGTGAAGTGTGTGTGTGTGTGTGTGTGTAGTTCTGCAGTGTGTGTAAGTTTGAAGTGTGTGTAACTGTGAAGTGTGTGTAGCTCTGAAGTGTGTGCAGCTCTGAAGTGTGTGTAACTGTGAAGTGTGTGTAGCTCTGAAGTGTGTGCAGCTCTGAAGTGCTTAAGTGATACTGATAATTGGTATGACTAGCGGGGAGTAATGTGATCAATTGGTTTATATTTTTTAAAGTCTGTCATTGTGGCTGCGTGTCGCTTATACACCACCAGTCAGAATGCTTCAGTTCTTTAAATAGAGATTAAACACTGAGAGATACACACATCTCGGTATATATATGCTGAGAGGTACACACCTCTTAGTATACAGTATACGTACGAGTATGGCTCTGCTCCAGACCCATACTCGTACCACGAACTGCAAAAAATCTATCAAATGCCTTAAATATTCTATGGAGAACAAATCTATACTGATCATTCCATAGTAGTTAACCACAACCTCCAGAAAAACCCTCACTAGTGAATGTGAGTGTGTTTCATCATTATTATGTATGAGGAAGCTCTAAATCCACAGGAGTCATACAGTGCTTAGGAAGTGAGAGGTACTCAGGTTTAATCCAAGGAAGGGGAGGGGAGCTGGAGCGCGTGCGTGAGTGTTGAGAGCGAGAGGTGAGGGAGGCTGCCTAGGGAGCGCTCCAGTCGACTCACATCAGCGGTGGTGGATGCATGTCACACACTGCTCCAGCGTGCCCCACCACCACCACCAACCATGACCATCAACACCTGCACGCCCCCAACACCGCCCCTCACGCCCCACTCCATCACTTGCCCGTGTATGGGCAAACACATCTGTGCTGAGTGTTAAGGAAGCACCTGCTGCACTACACAGGTGTTGACAGTCACAGGACCACTGTAGGACTTCCAGGACTTGTCTTTGCGAACAGATGGAGCGTCCGCAAAGGTTTTGAGTGGGTTAAGCCAGGAGGCTGCGTTTGTGTCCCATGTGAGGACACTTACAGCAGGTTTCAAGCTCTTATTCTAGTCAGCTCCAGCGAGGGATATCCATAGGCGTGGGCACCCACACACCAGTCTACGCCCACACGCCCATCTACCCCCCTCTTCCCTCTAGTCAACATCCAAATCGCGAGTGTTATTCTAGTCCTGTGAACTGCCCCGTGTGGAACTGTGATTAATACTACTGACAGTGACTGGGGCTCATCGTGGTCCTTGCAGTGATAGCAGTGTATCTGAGGGATCAAGAAAGATTCGCCATTAGTTGTAAAAACTGTAAATGATCCAGGGTGTTGCAGTACTTTTAGCAGGGTGTACATGTGCTCTTGACTACTATCTACGTGTACTCTCGACTACAGCCTACGTGTACTACTAGTGTGTGTGCGTGTACCACTAGTGTATACATATACTGCTGGTGCAGCGTCGTGAGTGAACTTGAGGTATCGTGTACGCGAGAAGTGTGAAGATGAAGTACGGTGATAACTTCGTGCGCTCTATGCGTCGGTCACTACGTATCAAGAAGAGTAAGAGTGTCACCATCACCAACAACAACACCATCAAGAGAAAGTCAGGTGGGTACTCACTGCGTTTACTTATTGCGCTTACTTGTACTTACACGTCTGAGTTTGCTTTCCTGTACTTGCCGACTTGTCTATGCTGAAAGGGCCTCTGGAGGGAGGATCCTTGACGCTAAGGGACTCTTGATCCAAGGGCTTGGACCTGGCCTCCCCTGCCTAGCATCGAGTCCGACTGCCTCCCATTATCCCAAATGCTCAAAAAATCATGTGGTGATACTGACAAGATGGAAGATGACACTTTCATATACAGTTTCGCCACAAGTGGTGAAACGTTTCCTATAAATATCGTGAACTGTACGTAAGTGTCTTTCTTCCAAGGACTGTATGACCCCTATGAGTTTAGAGCGCCCGTAAAAATTTGCTGGGGGGTCGAATATCTGATTCTGACCTCCAGCCTCTTGATGTGCGCCGTCCTGTATGTACACGTATGGCACACAATGCCGTCAAGATGAGGAGTTAGACACATGTGCAACATCTGGGTATCTTTATTGTAGATATTTCGCCCTCCAGTGGCTTTATCAATACAAATTCAAGGACATAATGGGAAGACTGTAGAACTTCATACTAAAGACAAGGTAATCAGTCCCTCAGCCTAGGTCAGCGTAGACTATTGTACCGTAGTCTTCAAGACTACCGTTTGATAAAGTCACTGGATGGCGAAACGTCTACAATAAAGATACAAAGATGTTGAAAATGTGTATGATTCTTCGTCGACCCGTATGTCTGGTTTATAACCTCTTGGGCTTTACCATACGTCTTCTTGAAACCGTGTGTTGAGTTCCCGACCCTAGTTCCTTATCCTGACACCTGACCTGTATCTTCAGCTGCCCCAGTTCCTTGTCCTCGCAATACACTCATCAATCCCTGTCTGCCCTTTCTAATGATTTTAGTATTTGTTTCCGTATTAATCATGTTTCCTCTAGTCTTTCCTCAGCCTTCCTCAAAGTGGATTCTTCTCAGCGCTTGGACTACTCTGGCTGCAAATCTTTGACTATTTCGAGTTTCGGTACTGATAAGATCTTCACACTGAGTACTGTATATACTCAGTGATGAGCCTGACGTACGTCCTTTATAATGGCCTGGAGGATTCTTTGTTGAGTTTCCTGACTGATTTTCTTACATTTGTTCAAGATTGAACTCCAGCAGCCACTTGTAACAATATAGTAATAATATCTTTATTTCTACAAGTACATGTACTTGTATGATAATTGTACACAAGCGCCTGGTGACAGACCGGGCCACGGGGGCGTTGATCCCCGAAACTTTCTCTCTCTCTTTCTCTCTTTCTCTCTCTCTTTCTCTCTCTTTCTCTCTCTCTTTCTCTCTCTCTTTCTCTCTCTCTTTCTCTCTCTCTCTCTCCAGGTATACTCCAGGCATGTGTTCCTTTACCTAAATAAGCTTATTTATTTACTTACACTTATAGGAAGACTACTGTAGCCTGTCCAGGTGTTGTTGGGTCTTGTCTCTCTCCTTCCTTAATTCTATCCTAACATTACTTTTACATAACCACCAGATAATAAAATATTAGAGGATGGAAAAAGAGGAGGAAACATTATTAATGATGGTTGAGAATGGCATAGCGAAAAATTTGGCGGCACACAGACACACACACACACACACACACACACACACACACACACACACACACCCATACGTAGGATTCAGTCCCTTCTGGCAAGTTATTTACATATCTTAGGAACAGTAACGGTCTTGACACTGATCCTTGTGGGACCCCCTCGTTGTTCTCTCCCATTCTGATTTTCCTACTAAGTATTGTATTAAGACTATTATTGATGCTACTAATACGGATTTTATTGTGTTTTATATGCAATGAAATCAATATGGTTTCATTAGCCCTCCAGCTTATTTTCTCTCTCTCTCTCTCTCTCTCTCTCTCTCTCTCTCTCTCTCTCCTCTCTCTCTCTCTCTCTCTCTCTCTCTCTCTCCTCTCTCTCTCTCTCTCTCTCTGTATCGGCTTTTACCATACTCGGTACTTCATCTAATTCCATTTCACTAATTATTTTTCATTTGCTTTCCTGTGAACCGTCACCCCTGTCTCTCCTGTGTTTAATATCTTCCCCGTCACCTTTTTTATTCCTTCGCCTCTTATTCATGCACCCTCCTCCTTCTCCTCCTCCTCTTCCTCCTCCTCCTCCTCCTCCTCCTCTTAGCCTCTTCAGTGAACAGACTATAAGAGGAGGTCAGAGGGTCTCCTGAACGTGTCTGTCCAAGGTTAATTGTACCGCTTAACTTGCCTGCCCAAGGGAAGCGGATGTTAATATCCTCGTGTAAGGTGAAGCAGCCACCTGTCTGGCTCCACGTGTGTGTGTGTGTGTGTGTGTGTGTGTGTTGTGTGTGTGTGTGTGTGTGTGTGGTGTTGTAGGTGGGCGAGGGGGCGCAGTAAACAAGTGGGGGGGGGCACCAGGGGAAGGAAGTAGTGGACGCAAACTCCATACATGTATTGAAATGTAAATAACTGGGAACCCCTGGGGTTAAGGATGCACCACAGGTGATATTCTCTCTCTCTCTCTCTCTCTCTCTCTCTCTCTCTCTCTCTCTCTCTCTCTCTCTCTCTCTCTCTCTCTCTCTCTCTCTATCAGCACATTAAAGCAATCTTTCCTTTACTCTATATAGACAGCATAATAACCGGACGTCCACAACAATGTTCTTTGCCGTGATGTTCCATTCCTGTGTAGCTGTAAAATGTAGCGTCGATGATGCTGTTGTAAAATAAAGCATTTTTGTTGTTGCTGCTGTAAAAGTTGTGGGTGTTTGTGGTACTGTTGTGGTTTCTCGACAGCTTTGTTGTTGTGGTTGTAAACCAGAATCTTTTTGTGTGCGTGTCAGGTAGTGTTAGTGGTGTCGTTACGTACACACACACTGGTGCCATGTCAGTTCATCTCCCTTCCTGGTGCCACCTTTAGGGTGATGAGATGAGAAAGGAAGTCAGTTATACCGCGGCTTGCTGTGAGCGACCTGGCCTCAGAGACCTGTATACAACCTTCATCCTCTCTCCTTGTACAGCTCTTGAAAGATGTTGGTGCTCCCATAGGTCCACGCCTTGTGCAGGTTCTCATAGGCTCTTAATGCTTCACAAGCAGACATCTTGCACAGGACTTCCAAGCTGTTGTGCTCCTAAAGTCGGTGCAATTGAGCGTCCACGGTGATCGAGTCCATCCTGGCTACCACGTGTGTGGGTGAGTGAAGAGACGGTGGAATCTTGCCTCGCGTATTACATTTGTCATAAAGATATTTTTAAACATTTAGTGGGTGTAGCACTGTGTGTGTGTGTGTGTGTGTGTGTGTGTGTGTGCTTAGTTGAGCTCCAGCATTTGGTCCTATATATTAAATTTGTGTCCTAACTGGTTGACATCTATCATGTACATTGTCGGCAGTGCAGATAAATTTAAAACATCATATCTAGTGACAGTACTCATTAAAGCTGCAATTAACCTATACACTAATATCAAGAATAGTTTAGTCTTTGAAACTGGGATAAAACTTTGTTTATATACCTTTATACAGTAAGAAATCTACCTATCGAAGTATATATATATACACACACCTTTGTATACACAGATATTTATTTGTACACATAGATATATAGTCCTCAATATATATATATATATATATATATATATATATATATATATATATATATATATATATATATATATATATATATTATATATATTAATATATATGTCGTAGTATATAGAAATGTTTTCACATTTGCTGCTAACCTTAACCCCAAGACATTTTCTTTACTTCCTGCCCTTGACAGTCATCCGGATAAGACGATGTGGCGTGTGTCTTGCCATTTTCTGAGGCGCGTTATGTAAAGACCAATCACATCATGGCTTCCTCCAGCTAATGTGAAAGCTGTTCCATGATTGGTGCTTGAGTGAGACTTGAAAGATCTGTGTTTGTGGTTGGCAGTGCTGAAGTGTTTTTATCGGTTTGCCCGTGAATGGTGAACGGGTTAAAACACTCACCCAGAATTATTAGATTTTAAACACATGTGCAACAGTTGGGTATCTTTATTGTTGGAACGTTTCACCTACACAATAGGCTTCGTCAGTCAAATACAGAGGCAGCAGGTGTAGTAGTGGTGAAATAAAGATGATGTAATCAGTCCATCAACCTTGGAGATATGGACTGATTACATCATCTCCATATCACTACTACACCTGCTGCCTCAGTATTTGACTGAAGAAGTCTTCTGTGTAGGCGAAATTTTTCGACAACAAAGATACCCAATTGTTGCACATGTGTCTTAATCATCGATTTCTAGATATTTTATACCATTTCCAACATGAATTGAAAAGTCACTGATTAAGGAAACGTTTTCAGTTAGAGACTCCAGTCATGTTCATGTGTAAGTCCTCAGCTTTTTCCAAGATGTTGAGGTTAAACTAATTTTAATTTGTTTTACCTGCCTCTTCTTCCCTTCCTTTCGTCCAGCTTCCCTGGACTGGTCCTCCAGCTTCCCTGGACTGGTCCTCCAGCCTCCCTGGACTCGTCCTCCAGCTTCCCTGGACTGGTCCTCCAGCCTCCCTGGACTGGTCCTCCAGCCTCCCTGGACTGGTCCTCCAGCTTCCCTGGACTGGTCCTCCAGCCTCCCTGGACTGGTCCTCCAGCCTCCCTGGACTGGTCCTCCAGCTTCCCTGGACTGGTCCTCCAGCCTCCCTGGACTCGTCCTCCAGCTTCCCTGGACTGGTCCTCCAGCCTCCCTGGACTGGTCCTCCAGCCTCCCTGGACTGGTCCTCCAGCCTCCCTGGACTGGTCCTCCAGCCTCCCTGGACTGGTCCTCCAGCTTCCCTGGACTGGTCCTCCAGCCTCCCTGGACTGGTCCTCCAGCCTCCCTGGACTGGTCCTCCAGCTTCCCTGGACTGGTCCTCCAGCCTCCCTGGACTGGTCCTCCAGCTTCCCTGGACTGGTCCTCCAGCCTCCCTGGACTCGTCCTCCAGCTTCCCTGGACTGGTCCTCCAGCC